GTGGGGTGGGGGGAGGGGTTGGGGTGAGGAGAGGCGATAGAAGACTTGGTGCCATGGAAGACTTGGTGCCACACGCAAACGGTAATGAGACTAATCCAATAAGGCAGTCCGTACGTCTTCCAGCGCGGTCACAATTGAATTAGAAATCGGTCAATGGCTTGCCTCTTGGAACGGGACGCCGTGGCGAAGCAAGAACCAATACAGTTGAATGACACGTTAAAACAGAGACCCCGAAAGTTATATTGTAAGCACAGTAGAATATCTGAGGATAATTATTATTTGTGGGACATTGGCCAGCATGAAATGAGATCCGCATTCGACCGATTGGAGTCCACGTCATCTGATCAACATAATCTCGGATTTACTAATACCCACGTATTTAACGATATCAGTAACAATAAACATTGAACCCCACCCCCTGTCCTCCCCCACCCCCCTTCTAAACTTTCTTGGTGCGCAATTCAATTATCCAGCGGGAAATCGGAGATCTTGTACTAAGTATTGAAGGCATTGTATGTTTTTCTTCAATTTTGTTCTGGTTTTTTGTTTTTACTTTTTTTTAATTAATTTTTTTTTTACTGACATTGATAAAACAAGTTCATTGATGTGCTGACTACAACGACATAGGGAACCACATACTGCTCACAATTCTACACAGAAGACTTAATTATATCCCCGTCTCACTACGCTTCTGTCAAGTATAGATCATTGTTTTGTTGTGCCCTGGCCAATCGAATGTTGGTTGAGGTCGTGTACCAAAGCAACAGGTGTGCGCAGTGATGTTGTGTGGTCTCAGTTCTTTGTGGAGTCAGTATGAATAAAATGTGTTTCTTTCTTTTGTTTTATCAAGAGCCTGGTTGCTCTCAGGCTATTTATATCATACAAAGGAAGTCTTGGACTTTGAAATTCGTGTTTCTCAAGATAAGGGGACAAAAATCGATTTAAAGAAATATCTCTTGGTCTACTGCAATGTCTTTAGCACTTTAAGCTTGTTTAAAACAGAAGTAATGAGGGTTTTTAAAAAACAACAACAACAACACAGAAACTATAACAACTACAAAATGAATTCAGTCTTGTCCAGTTTCATTTTCTCATTAAAATGATCTGATCTCTCGATAACAACAACCAAAGCCCACTGCAATGCTTACTGGATACCCAGTTCAAGTTTACCTTTTATCAGTTGGATCGGCACAGATAACTTTACAGACCAATTATTTTTAAAAATAATATGTCAGATAACATGTTGTTCTAAAAGTAAAAGAGCTGGAATTTTCAGGCCCCTAAGTATCATCCTAAATATCATTGTCGGTACTGGAATGTGCAGAAAGAGAAGTATAACCAGTTGAAGTAGCAGGAGGACGAGGAAGAGGAGCAGAGGACAAACAAAAGGAGAATCAGTGCTATCAACAACAACGTAAAAAGTAAATGAGTGGAAAGCTTTAACGCCTCTAACAAAAATACAGGGTTATCTAAAAGGTGGGAAATCGGAATTTAAAATGTCTCCGATACGACTGGGCCAAATAGGCTGAAAGTATTGAAAACTCCCCAAAACGACCCCAGTTCAAGAACACCCACTTGGAAAATCGAACCAAGGCCATCAGCTCCAATCCGACGAGGTCTAGCATGCTAAGACGGTGCCCAACACCAATGTGATGACGATAATTTAAGTATAACTCCTAAACAATGGCACATTCAGTACAGTCCTTGAAATAAAAAGCAGCCCGAGCGCCGCGTAATCAAACCATAAAAAAACATACCAACTCCTGAGAAAAGCGCCAAAACCTTTCATTATCTGCTTCCAAAGTTAAAAAAACAAACAAAGCCTCCTATCTAAAATGGCATCTCCCTGCCCGACCCCCAGGTCCCAATCTTTCAATACTACAGAAGACTGAGACAGCTCGCTTTCAAACAGTCTACACGAGCCCATTTCCCCTGTTGAATGATAAGTGGCATCATTCGTTCCATTAGTAATGACAGATTTCTTTTTATTCTTACTCTTTTTAGTCCGCCCTCTTAACAGAATGAGTACAAGAAATGTTTACAGATGGTGTCTGGGGATTTTCAGTTCTTGGGAAGAGATGTGTGTGTGTGTGTGTGT